CGCCCCCGCCGCGCGCTCCCGGGAGGCGGCGGCGGCGGCGGCAGTATCCAGAGCATCAGCAGTCTCGGCAGCAGCCCGGTAGCCTCGGGCGGGGCCGGCCGTCGGACCGACAGACAGAGGTCGCCGGGGGCGAGTGGCCTGGCCTCCCAGGCCGGCCATGGAGGGCTCCTCGTTCGGCGCGGGCCGCGCGGGGGCCGCCCTGGACCCCGTGAGCTTCGCGCGGCGGCCGCAGACCCTGCTGAGGGTCGCGTCCTGGGTGAGTGGCCCCTGCCCAGGCCCCTTCCCCGATCCCCTCGTTCCCCACCCGTCTCCCAGCCCCTCGCCCCCAGCCCCTCGCCCTCATCTTCTCCTTCGCCGGCCCCTCCCCCGCCGGCCGCAGGTTGAGGTGACGTCACCGGGCTGGGCGCGCCCACCTGCGGGCGGGGGAGGGGTTGGCAGAGACCCAGGGACCTTGAGAGGTCACCGCCGGTCGCCCCCTTCCCCCAATTCCTTCTTAGGTCTAACTCTAATCCCTTTCCTCAGCATTCTCTCCGTTTTTCCCGTTCTCACGACCTGGAAGCGGGCACCGGGGTGGGGGCGCGATTCGCCCAAAGGCTTGAACGCTCAGCCCCAGCAGGATGAAGGAGCTAAAGGAGCCCAGAGGGATCAGGAAGGGCGCCCCTCTTTCCCGCACACACAGCTGCCAGCCCCCTTTGAAGGGAGCCGGCCTCCCCAAGCCGCCCAAATCTGGGTGAGCGTTAAGGGAGGGGTCTCCGAACTGAGAGGGCTTCCTGGAGGAGGTGTCAGGTTTGAGGCATTGTGAACCCTGGGACATGTCTTGCTCCTCTTCACCCTTCCAGGCAGGAGAGATAGAGTGGGGTGCCGAGCTCTGGGTTTTATCTTAGATGAGGGCGGTGCCCAGAGAGGGGCAGGGCCCCGGCCTTCCCTGTGGAGTGACTTACTAGACCAGGAAGCAGGAATCCTACGTCCTGGCTCTCAGCTCTAGTTCCGAGTTGTGGACTCCATAGTGGGTACATTTCCGTGTCCTACCTGCCCTTGACTGGGTGTCTCAGAGGTGGGGGAGGAAAAGAGCAAAATGATGAAGTTGAAACTGAGGTCAGTTCTTGGAAAATTAGGGCTGCTAAAGAACAGCGTGAGGTTTAAAAGGTAGTGGTGCACCCGCTACCTGCCTGCCCGAACTGTGTGCATAAGGTATTGAGATTGGGCCAAACTCTAAAGGTCAGTGTTGTCGCCTTTTGAACACCCTCATGGCCGATATTAATCAGTTCAGTGGTAAACCATCCCTCCGGTACCCACCACTTCGGAAGCTGGGGAGGTTCTCCCACCCAGCCTTCCAGACACTGGGCTGTTTACCCAGAGGCACACAGCTCCCAGGTGCTGAAGGTAGGTTGGACCTGGGGCCTGGCCTACACCTCTGTGCAGCCTCCTGTCCACTCCTCCCTTCCCTATGCCCTCCAGACTGCAGTCCTGGACTCAAGGACTGACCGACGTGAAGACTCCTGTTCCACACCCTGAGTGGACGCCGTGGTGCATAGGTTGTAGAGAGGAGCTGGCTTGAATCTCTTCCCTGGCTCTGATAAGCCGAGTGACCCTGGACAATCCCATCACCTGTTGGAGCCCCAATATCCCAGCTGCAGAGGGGTTAAGAATGATGTAGGGGCTGTGTAGCTAGCCAGGCTCAGGGGGAAGCATTTGACCATAAAACCGTGGCATCCCATGGGCTTTTGGAGGATTGCACTTAAAAGTAGCGGTGTTAGCACTGTACCTGGACCTGGCAGATGCTCACAAATTGGCTCATGTTGTCCATAATTACTAAATACAGGAGGGATAAAGGAAAGATAGGAAAGATAGGCTCGGTACTATAGGGGAACGCAGGCACAGGTCCGGAGACCCGAGGTGCTAGGGGAGCAGGGCCTCTGCAAGGGCTTGAGCAGTGATGTCGCCACCGGCAGGTGTTCTCCATCGCCGTGTTTGGGCCTATAGTCAACGAGGGCTACGTGAACTCCGACAGCGGCCCGGAACTTCGCTGTGTCTTCAACGGGAATGCGGGCGCCTGCCGCTTTGGCGTCGTGCTGGGACTCGGGGCTTTCCTAGCCTGCGCCGCCTTCTTGCTGCTCGACGTGCGCTTCCAGCAGATCAGCAGCGTCCGCGACCGTCGCCGCGCTGTCCTCCTCGACCTGGGCTTCTCAGGTAGGCGGGACCGGGGGGGGCGGGGGCGGGAAGAGGACCAGCCGAGAGGAGAGGAGCCTGCCCCTGCCAAGGCCTTGAGCTTCAGGGGTGGGCAGGCCCAGCTCCTGCGAGGGAGGGGTCAGCGGTGGACTGGTGGACCGGGGCCGCGATAAGCGGGCGGGTTCTCAGGTGTGCCTTGCTGGACCCTGTGCCTGGCCTGTGCCCACGGAGTCTGGCATCCTGGGGTCGGCGAAGCAAGGCGCACCGTGGACCATAGGGCCCTGTTGTTGAGGAGCGCCCCTGGCTGCGGTCTCTGCTCTTAGGTCTCTGGTCCTTCCTGTGGTTCGTGGGCTTCTGCTTCCTCACCAATCAGTGGCAACGCACCGCGCCAGGACCCGGCACCACACAGGCTGGGGATGCTGCACGGGCTGCCATCGCTTTCAGCTTCTTCTCCATTCTCAGCTGGGTAAGTGTGGGCCCAGGGGGCAGCAGGGGACAGGGGCACTTCAGCTGGCCCAGCTGACCTGCACCCACCCCAACAGGTGGCGCTCACCGTGAAGGCCCTGCAGCGGTTCCGACTGGGCACCGACATGTCACTCTTTGCCACAGAGCAACTGGGCACTGGGGCAGGCCAGGCCTACCCTGGCTACCCGGTGGGCAGTGGTGTGGAGGGCACCGAGACCTACCAGAGCCCGCCCTTTACCGAGACCCTGGACACCAGCCCCAAAGGGTACCAGGTGCCTGCTTATTAATGGCTGGCAGGTGCAGGCAAGGGCTCGAAAGCCACCCTACCAATTCAGGCCCTATGGCCTCCTGGGACCGCCCTCAGGTTCTGCCCATACAGCGCCAGGGACATGGGGGATGGCCACTGTGGGCTTCCATTGGCCAAGCAGATGGAGCCCCTCTGGGATTCCTCAGCTGTCCCCACCGAGCCCCTCTAGCAAGAGGGTCCAGACCTGAGATCCTGCAAGAGGGCAGCACAGTTTGGGGTGGGCTGTGGAAGAAGAGGCAGTCCCTTCATGGGCCAGGTAACCTGGGGCTTACCTGTCTATTCCAAGGTCAGAGGTCCAGCTACTCTGCACAGCCTGGTGCTGGGCTTCCCAGGACCAGAGGTAAGGACACTAACCTCACCTTAAGGCCAGAGATTGTGGCCATTGTTCCCCATCCCCAGTCCTTACGGATAGTGACTACCTTTGCTGCTGTCTTGGTTTGCCTTCTCTGGAGCCTCCCTCCATTTCCACTCATAGACTCTAGAGCAGCCTGATCTGTTAATGTTGTCGTGATTGTGGTCAAGTCTTCTGGTTTCATCTCATAGTACCCCATAAGCTGCCCCTCTCTGTGGGCCATTCTGGCCAGGAAGGTACAAGACAGCTGTGGGTCTGGGCAACAGCCCTTCAGTAAGACCCTGCTTGGGCTGGGGATGTAGCTTAGTGGCATAAGCGCCTGCCCAGCAAGTGCAAGGTCCTGAGTTTGATTCCCATTACCAAAAAAAGAAAAAGACCCTGCCTAAGGGAAAAGTGGAATACCTGGGTGCCAGGCAAGACAAGCTTCTCATAAGGAAAGAGTCCTGGAGCTTCCACCTGCCAACAGTGCCCCTGGAGACAGCCATTCCTGCAAACTGTCTTACCTTGGCTTCCTGGACCAGTTACTCCCTTCCTACTCTGCATCCTGTTTTAAGGCCCAGCCCTATGGGGGTTCCTGTGTGTAGCTGACTATTCATGCATTGCATAAAGCTGGCTTTTCACATAAAGTTAAACCAGACATGTTGCCATATTCCATTCTTACAGACAGATGCCTCCCTCTGGAGTTGCGGTTGAGTGACATCTCTATACATTGTAGCATAGAACAATTATTTAAGTGATATTTAAGTGAATATGTTTACAGTTTTTGTATATATGGATCTCTCTTCTGAAAGAACAATCCATGATTGTGTATTTTTAGTGTCCCATATTCTGACTGCAACTTCTTTACAATAAAGATTGTAAATGCGTTGACTGTGATCTGGATGCTTCTGGAGTCATTTCTACCTCTGCCCTTCCTGGTACCAGGGGCAGGAGCCTCAAGAATACAGGAGTAGGTAGGGAGGCAGAGGCTAATCATACCTCCAGGTTCTGGGAACTACAGATCTAGGACCCTGAAAGGATCACACTGGTCTGGGTAAAAAAACTGCCACTCAGAGTGGGCTCTCTGAAATGGTGGGGATGAGACAAAGACCACCATGGGATAAAGGGCTAGTGAACTCCTGGGTCCTAACTCAAGGCTTACTGTTACTCTTTAAAAGTACGATATGTGTTCTTCCCTGCTCCTCACTCTCCCTCAAAAACCAGGTGTATCATTAAAGCCAGGATACCCTGACTACAGTGTCTCCAAGAATAAACTGGGAGAGAGAATTTAAAAAACATATTTTTTTGAGACAAGGTCTCATGTTGTAGTGTAAGCTGGACTTGAACTCACTGTGTAGCCCAGACTGGCCTGAAACTCACAGCAATCCTGCTGTAGCTTCCCAAGTGCTGGGGTTACAGTTATGTGCCACCATGCCCAGCTGAGAGAATAAAATTATCGGGGATCATCACAGAGGGACAGGGAACAGAAAAATTCCCAGGTTCTTAATTCTTTAAAAGTGTAGTTTATGCCAGGCATGGTGATGTACACCTGTAATCCCAGAACTCAGGAGGCTGAGACAGGAGGATCACTGTTCTTTTGAGGCCAGCCTGAACTATATAGCAAGACCCTGTCTCAAAAACACAAAAATAAACACAGCCCAGGGCCTGGGGATTTAGCACAGTGGCACAGCGCCTGCCTGGCAAGCGCAAGGTTGTGAGTTTGATTCCCAGTACCGGAGAAAAACCAAAAAAAACCCAAACAAACCAAAAAAAAAAAAAAAAAAGAAAGAAAAACACAGCCCATGATTTGTGTTTTCTTCTGAGGCAGTGCTTCACAACTGCTTTTGCTTTTTTTTTTTTTTCTGGTACGGAGAATCGAACTCACAACCTCGCGCTTGCCAGGCAGGCACTGTGCCACTGAGCTAAATCCCCAGCCCCACAACTGCTTTTGCTAAAAAATAGCTAGATGTGGTGACAGCAGATCCCTGTAATCCCAGTACTCTGGAGGCTGAGGCTGGAGGATCCCAAGTTTGAACACAGCCTGGGCAATTTAGCAAGGCCCTGTTTTGTTTTGTTTTGTTTTGTTTTTTTTAAAGGCTGGGGATATAGCTCATGTGAAGGCCTTGAGTTCACAATACTGCAAATAAACCAAATACTAGCAGCAATTATTATTTGCATTATTGAAGATTGAACCAGGCCCTTGAACATAGTAAGCAGCAACATTAACACTGCATTGCATCCCAAGCTCTTTTTTTTTTTGAAACAGGGTCTTGCTATTTAGTTCAAACTGGCCTTGAATTTACTATTCAGCTGAGGCAGGCCTCAAACTCACAGCAGTCCTTCTGCCTCAGCCTCCCAGGTACTGGGAGCACAGGTGTGTACCACCATGTCTGGCCACCAAGCTTGCTTGCTTGCTTATTTATTTATTTATTTATTTAGGAACTGGGGATTGAACCTAGAACCTTCACATAGAGCTACATCCCACATGCCTTGTTTTTGTTAATTTCCTTGTAGCCAGGACACAATAATTGACACCCACAACTAAAAGAAAGACAAGTATATTTTGGCTCACAGTCTGTACAGGTTTTAGTCCATGGTTGGCTAGCTCGGAGGCAGGACAACACACCAGAGGCACAGGGAGGAGTCTCGCGGAATGGTAGACCAGAAGCAGAGAGCAAGAAAGAACAGAGCTGGGGAGGGAGATAAATACTTCCTGGCCACGCCTCCAGTGACCCACCTCATCTCACCAGACCCCACCTCCTAACAGCAAATCAGCTACTAAACCCCATAATTCAAGCACCTCCCCAAAACCCCACCTTTAAGTATATGAAGTTTTTGGGGGATATCTACATATAAAGCATAACACTCCCTTTTTATTCTTCATTTTCAGAGTTTTACTAAGCCACTAGGTTGCCCAACTTGGGCTCAAGTCCCAGGCTTTTTTAAATCATTAGGAGCAAGACACAGTAGTTAGGACATAGCAGTAATCCCAGCGCTCAGGAGACTGATAGGAGGATTGCCAATTTTGAGGCCAGCCTGGGCAGTTTAGTGAAATGCCGTCTCAAAATAATTTTCTTTTCTTTTTTGGTACTAGGTATCGAACTCAGGACACTGTGCTTGCCAGGCAGGTGCTGTCCTGCTGAGCTATGTCCCCAGCCCTCAGAAATAATTTTCTTTTCTTTTCTTTTTTGTCTTTTTGAGACAGGGTCTCACTATGCAGTTCAGGCTGGCCTTGAGCTCACTTTGTAGCCCAGGCTGGCCTCGAACTCGAAAGGATCC